TGGAGAGACGCACAGATGGACAAGTCTTTTCATTTTCCAAAACGCTGAGCAGAGACCTGGAGTTGCTGAGGGTGTCAAGACTCACAGATGCAAACACGGAGGAAGAGTGATACAGACGTATGGCAGGCACAGCCGGCAGGGAATGTGTTCCTGCAGGGTTCAGATTCACGGAGGACACCTCATCAGGGTGGGGTGGGAACTTCAGCACACATCCCTCGTGTCCTTCCGTGGGGACAGAGCCGAGTGCTCAGGGATGCTCAGAGAGTTGATGTTTCCAGATAACAGACAAGCTGCTCTGCCACCCCTTCACCCGCCTTAAAGAATGAGTCCTTTCCCTGCCTTAGAATTGCTCAGCCAGGCATCGCTCTCTCGTTTGTGTGGGGCTTGATCAACTGAGTGATTTTGTACTGTTACTTGTTTTGAAATCAGTTTTATTTCAGGTGCCACTTACATGTAGACATGCTAACGTTTTTGTGGGTTCTCATTATTGAAAATTTTGTACAGGATTCTGAGCAAAATGCACATCCACAGAGTCCTGTTTTTGAAAGCCTCTGCTAGCCTGTCATACTTTTTTTTCCCCCCCAGCCAAAACAGCTTTTCAGGGCCACTAAGTGACATAGTTAGAATCCTGAGAATAAACCAATAATTAGATCCTTTCTTTGGTTACTGCATTGTTATGTAAAGTATCTGAAATTTGTAACCATTTCATTTGGCTGAGGAAACTTGACAGTCACTTGAATTTATATGCCAATGGTATGCTGAAATGTATATAAAGGGTTGGGTTAGAGCAGTGGTCGGCAAACCGCGGCTCTCGAGCTACATGCGGCTCTTTGCCCCTTGAGTGTGGCTCTTCCACAAAATACCACATGCGGGCGCGCACGTACAGTACAATTGAAACTTCGTGGCCCATGCGCAGAAGTCGGTTTTCGGCCTGAGCGAGTCTATTTTGAAGAAGTGGGGTTAGAAGAAGTGGGGGGTGTCGGTCAGTCGGTAGGGCGAGGGGAGACGCAGCGCGGGGGAGGCGTGCGCAATTCATGCAGGAGTTGAGTGAGCCAGTCAGTCAGCAGTCTCATGTGCAGTGGTTAGTGCTAGTCGCATCCGCAAATCGCGCGCGGGTGACAAAAGTACCTACAAAAGCATAAAGTACGACAAAAGCATAAAGTTACCTGTATTTTTCCAACCAGCTGCAAATCCTACAGGTATTTTTGTCATCAATTTAAGAATTGTAATTCTTTTGTGTTGGCGGCTTTATTATTATAAAATGAAACATTTTTTTTTAGGTGCCCTGTTTGAGATGGCTACAAAGAAGAAGCAAAGAAAAACGGAAGACGAAAACCGTGGATTTAAAGTTGAATTTAAAGTTGAATGTACCTACCTACATAGTTTAAGTTTAAAAAATTTGGCTCTCAAAAGAAATTTCAATCCGTTGTACTGTTGATATTTGGCTCTGTTGACTAATGAGTTTGCCGATCACTGGGTTAGAGGAACGGTGGGTCTCCTGTGCCTGGGTAGCCCAGCTCCCTCTGACTTGTTGTTGATAAGCTGGAGATACACCCCCGCTGACCCTGCAGTAGAGAGAGCTGCCTGGCTGCCGCAGTGGGGAGGCCTGAGGTCGTAGATGTCCTGGTCTACACCAGTGATGGCGAACCTTTTGAGCTCGGTGTGTCAGCATTTTGAAAAACCCTAACTTAACTCTGGTGCCGTGTCACATATCGAAATTTTTTGATATTTGCAACCATAGTAAAACAAAGACATATTTTTGATATTTATTTTATATATTTAAATGCCATTTAACAAAGAAAAATCAACCAAAAAAGTGAGTTCGCATGTCACCTCTGACATGCGTGTCATAGGTTCGCCATCACTGGTCTACACTCTGCTGTTGCACCTGCTGAGACCTGCTGCTGGAAGTGCTGCTCCTTCTCTGAGCAGAGCAAGGAGGACCCAGTTCCTGCAGAGACTCATGGGCTGTCAGAACCTGCTCGTCCCTCCTTTGCCGCCACTGCTGTGTGCCATGGCCTGTGGAGCAGGGAGACCCTGCAATCAATCCTCTTTGGCGGGGATCCCGCCTTCTGCCCTGCTGTGTCTCAGATGGACAGACGACAGCTCCACCCATTCTTTTTTGGGCCTCAGTTCTCTGGATAGGTCCACCTGCTTAGTGAAAAAAGCACCAGCCCTCAAACTAGCACGCAGTCCTTAATCAGATGAGTACACCAAGGCAGGCACTGAGGGCTCTGCATGTGAAAACTCCTTTGGCTACTGCTGGGCTGCTTGCTGCCTACCAGGTGGGTGAGAAGGGGAGCCATCTGCCTGTAATTCCCACCAGCTTTGCCCCAATGACCAACAACTCCAGCCCAGATGTGCACAAGGTATCATTGTTAGTCCTTATGTCTATGAGGAGGCACTAGGCCAGTGGTCGGCAAACTCATTAGTCAGCAGAGCCAAATATCAACAGTACAACGATTGAAATTTCTTTTGAGAGCCAAATTTTTTAAACTTAAACTATATAGGTAGGTACATTGTTATTAACTTAATTAGAGTACTCCTAAGCTGGCCTTTGTTAAAAACGTGGTATTTTGTGGAAGAGCCACACTCAAGGGGCCACAGAGCCGCATGTGGCTCGCGAGCCACGGTTTGCCGACCACTGCACTAGGCCATGCCTGTCAAATATGGAGAACAGGGGCTGACTTAACTATTCCCTATTCCTCCCTGGACATCCTTCCTATGAACTAATTTTGAGTGCTGGTAGCTGAATAACTGAACTGAATGGTTTGCACTGATATTGACATGGGAGCCAGTTGAGGCTAAATGGCCACTGTAGGTTTGTTTCACATGTTCCCAAAAACCATCTCTTGGTGCTCCTGCTAGAGAGAGACCATGGAGTGGGATGTACCATGGGGCTGAGCTAATGTGGTGTTCTATAAGAGAAGCACAGTGGGACAGGAGGTGATGTAGGAAGAGCACATCTTTTTTGTAAAAAAACCTGTTTTTATTGATTTTTAGAGAGAGGGAGAGAGAAACACTGATGCAAGAAACATCGATTAGCTGCCTCCTGCAGGCCCCCTACTGGGGATTATGCCCCAAACCCTGGGCATGTATCCTGACTGGGAATCGAACCAGTGACCTTTTGGTGCATAGGGTGACACTCAACCAACTGAGCCACACGGGCCAGGGCAAGAGCACGTCTGTTAATGTGGTGTCCTTTAGACAACATTATAAGACAATACATTGTCCTGATGTTTATTAAGACTATGATGAAAATGTCAGAAGCCACAGTGTGAAAGGGAGGCTGTGAGACATTCAGAAGAGGCAGTCACCATGTCTGTGAGTGGCTCCCCCTGGACCAGGGACACATACCCCACCTCGTTTCCCCTGGGGCTACTTCCCCGTAGGGTCTAAGTGCAGAGGCCTTACTCTTCATTTTCTTCTTTCTTTAAATCCCATTATCCTTAACACTGTATCTAACTCCAAGGAATTTTATTTTTTATCCTCACCTGAGGATATGTTTATTGAATTTAGAGAGAGAAGAAGGGAAAGAGAGAGAGAGAGAAACATTGATGTGAAAGAGAAACATTGATCAGTTGTCTCCAGTACAGCCCCAACCGGGAATCCAACCTGCAACCTTCTGGTGCATGGGACAACGTTCCAACCAACTGAGCACCCGGCCAGGGCAGGAATTTTATTTTTGAATCACAATTCCAAAACCTCTTGTTGGAAGGGTAGTTTCAATTTATTAACAAACTAGAGAAAACAGCACACAATGACTATGAGAAGCCAAGAAAGATGGGTAGGGGTTCACTTTGCCTGACTCTCCTGTGCAGCTGGAAAAAACCCTCCTGTGCCTCACGGACTGTGCCCCTTAGAGGAGGGAGGGTGGTCCTGCAGGGAGCACAGTTCTCCGCTTCTGAGTGACGGGTGGGACTCTACCCGCCCGCTGGAGGATCATAAAACCGCACATCTAAGATCCAGAAAACAGCTTTTGAAAAACATTTTCCCAATGTGCAGCTATACTTTTTCACACCTTTAGATTCATTTTAAATTTGTTTGAAATAGCACATCTAGAGACAGATTGCAAACCCAGCCCACCAGAGCCTATTGTTCTGTTCTCTGCTGCTTAATAGTCTAGAGATCCAAGTGGATTCCTCTCACACTCTGAAGGGAAAAGAAGACCCTACATTAGCGTTTTCAAAATCGCGAACATACATTGTTTCATTTGATCCTCACAGCAGCCCAGGGAGCAGGCAGGCGGGCAGGATCCAGAGGATGGAGTCGTAACTCGTGGAGCTGGGAACCAAACCCATGTCCCCTGCCTCCTGGGCCAGGGCTCCTTCTACTCCACAGATGAACTGAGCTCTCCTTGATGAGCAGGGCAGCCTTTCTGCTTAGCATAGAAGACATGTCCTTTGGGCTCGCAAACAAAGTTGATTTAAAGTACAGACCTCGTCAGCAAGCTCAGGGGATAAACACACCTGAGCTCAATTCGGCATCCACATCAGAGGGATGAAAAGGACAGAACATGGGTGTCTTCGACGAGGGTTTCTTCCCGTTTTCTTGACTCTCACCCAGACCACACTGGGGGGCTGTGACTGGAACGCAGCAAAGTCCAGGAGGAGGGAAGATATTCAGAGGACTTTCTCATCTAGCAATTTGTTGATTCCTTCACACATCCTCTTGAGGCTGGGTCTACAGTTTCCATCCGGACTATAAAGGGTGGAGAGGAACTCCACATCAGCAAAGTGGTTGAAGACGTGGTTGATGCGCCCGTGGGTCCTGGGGGTCAGGTGTCGCTGCACCAGTTCATGCACCAGGTCCTTGCACTCGTGTAGGAGCTTGGAGAGCACGTTCCTATCGAAGGTGTATTCCACCTCATAGAAGCTGACGATGGTCATGGCGGTCTGGTTCAGCTTCTTCCTGAACTTCTCCACGATGGCAACCTCCTCCTGGTTGAACTGGTTGTTCCGGTAGAGGATCCCGATTTTGATGGCCACCTTGATTAAGTCTTTCATGATCTTGTGGGCTTCCTTCTTGTTGTGGGTGTGCTCTTTGGTGACTTTGTAGAGCTCATCAAAGATCTCACTGCTGGTGTCATCAATCAGCATGTTGGCCACGGTCTTGCTGGCTATTTTGCTCAGAATCTTCTTCTGGGCTTGAAGGGCAAAACTCTTTGAACTAAACACATCGGGACCTAAGGTAAGAAAATAAATGAAAGTTATGGCAATACGAGAACCATTTGTTATTTTCCTACAAGTGAAGCACACTAATTTGCACTTATGTTCTTAGAGCAAAAATCCATGTTTTTAGAGTCCACACTCCCTTAACTGAACCCCACCCATGCCTGGTCGCCACATGGTCCTGTCCACATGACATGCTCACTTACTTTTTGAACCTTCTAAATTGTGCTCTTCCCTCACTGGAATGGGTCTCCTCTTGTCTAGGCCAAATCTCACCTCTTTACACCTACTTCACATACAGCCTTCCAGACTCTATTAGATCACAGAGGACTCCCTATTGTGGCTGTTGCACTGGAAGCCATTTAGTTTTGCAAATTATACAGGAGGAAATTATAGCTTAATGACAAGAATGTAGTCTTTTTTTTTTTAAATCCTCACCTGAGGATATGTTTTTACTGATTTTAGAGAGAGAGGAAGGAAGAGAGAGAAACACTGATGTGAGAGAAAAACATCCATCGGTTGCCTCCCATAAGTGCCCCACCTGAGATTTGAACCTGAAACCTAGATATATGCCCCGACCGGGAATCAAACCCAAAACCTTTTGGCGTATGGGATGATGCTCCAACTGAGTCACCTGGTCAGGGCAAGAATGTAGTCTTTTTTTTTGGCTGAGTCTCAGAATTCATAGTTCATAGAGTCTAAGATGTGTATTTTTCCAGTTTGATATCTTGGAAATTGAGATGCATTTACAGTCACTGTTGCCAGGTGGCGGTTGTGCTGTGGTTGTCATTACCTGTGTGCATATCAACTTACACAATAGGAGCCAGAAATTTGGGAGAAAAGTCAAGAGTACTTTTGTAAGAAATATTGCCTCGCCAATGCTCCGACGGCACAGAGAACCGCACTGTGTGGGAAGAAAGACATCGACAACGTCAGGTCAAAGGTGCTTCAGCCAGTACTACTCTGACTGTGAAGATGCTCAGAAAAACAAAGCCAATTTATTTCCCTGTTATTTTCCACTTTATGAATGAGAAAGAGAAATACATGTTAAAAAATAATAAGTCTAAGTAAGTCTAAAAAGGATGCTTCAATAAGCATAAAATAAAAATTCTAAGAATACAGCAAGCAGTTTAATTGGCAGCACCTTTACCTTTCTTAAGAACACATAAAACAGCATCTTACAATCCATGGTGCCTTAGATCTGATGAAATCCCCCGTGAAGTCACCAATTAGCTGGAGCTGACATTTGAAAGGAACCCCCCTGGCCAGCCTGACTCATTATTACTATCTTCCCAAGGAGATTCAAGTTGCCTGAAGACAGAGACAGGAGTTTCGAGTTGCCATAGCACCTAGCTCAGTTCTGGTTACAGCGATGGGATGGTGTCTGTTAAGTACCGGAGAAATATTGCAGAAGAATAAGGAAGTAGTAAAATACGGTGCGAACTTGTACTGAAAACACAAACCCCAACAATTTTCTTGCAGAAGAATAAGGAAGTAGTAAAATACGGTGCGAACTTGTACTGAAAACACAAACCCCAACAATTTTCCTTTGAGAACCGAGGGCCCTCTAGGTCCCAAGAGCTTTTGCGCAGTGCTCTGTGGCCACCCCGAAGTGACAGATGTGATATGCAGAGTGGACAGCCAGCTTCTGCAGTCCTTGTCGGGCCCGTCCCCATCTCATCTGCCACCCCCTCTGCCCAGCCTGGATTCATTCCCTCAGTGGACAGTGATTAATTCCTGGACACTGAGGTCTTGCAGACACAGACTCAATAAACACTCAAACACAATGTAGACATAGGCCCCGGGGCTTCCTCCAGCTGCAGGCCTCTCACGACTGGCCGGGCCTTGCTCCCTCAGCCCTGGGTCCTTCCAGGAAAGTGAATCCAGCTGCAGGCTCTTCCAGCTGCAGGTCTCAGGGGACTCCACCCAGAACTAAAGTGGTGGGTGCCACAGCCTCTCACAGCCCCAGGAAGCTCCCTCCCTGAAGTTTGAGATCACAGCAATTTCAAGCAACTTCACAGCCAAGTAGCCCTGACATGGCCAAGATGTTCCTTCAGCCTCGGTGACTCTTCCGTCCCCTGAGAAAGCTGACTTCCTGATTTGTGCCCTTCCAGAGTTTGAGACAAATAATATTCCTGCCCCATCTGATGATCCACCACAGTCACCAGACCTTTGTGTGAATAACCTTTGTTCCAAAAACATCAAATCGGTCCTCGAAAGACAAATATTTACAAGCACGTAGGATGTGCAAAAGATGGTGCTGTGTGCTCAGAAGTCAATTCCACAGGAGAAGCTGAAAGACTTTGTTACTGAAATATGTATGTGCCTCCTCAGGTGATTATTCTGACGGGAACAATGAAGTCTAGCTAGATCCGTTCTGGAATATCACAGAAGCACGAATCAACTGAATGTGTGTTCACTAGAGTGTAAGCTCTGTGGGAGCAGGGACTTGTGTCTAAGCCCTCCTGTCTGTCCATCCAGAGTCCAGCGTGTTGGTGGCACATGGCAGCCAGTGGCTGGACGAGGGGTGCGCTGGCTCTGTGCCAGGCACTGCACGGTGTTAACCCTGTGAGCTGGGTGAAGCTGGCATTTCTACCAGCGCCTCCCTGCCAGCCTGATTCCAAGCCCTCTCTGTTCACCAGCAGCCTTCCCAACAGTGTCCTCTAGAGCACTGCCCGGCACACCTTTTGCTCAGATATCCCCCTAAGAATTTGAAAAATGACAAGCCTCCTTGCATTATTAACTTGACAGCAGTATTTTTCACTTCATGGTTAAATAGTTATATTTCTAATAGATATAACTTCTATATTGTTAATATTGCTACATAAAAATTATCCTTTTATTTTTTAAAATGTTTTTATTGATTTCAGAGAGGAAGGGAGAGGGAGAGAAAGATAGAGACATCAATGATGAGAGAGAATCATTGATTGGCTGCCTCATGCACACCCCCCATTGGGGATGGAGCCTGCAACCCGGGCATGTGCAGGCCTGGGATAAACCTTGACCTCCTGGTTTATAGGTTGAAGCTCAACTACTGACCCACACCGGTCGGGCTAAAAATTAACCTTTAAAATAATTCCTTTAAATGTGTCATCGTAACAAATATATCACAGCGATAAAACACCCATTACTGTCCATTTAAAAATGCTGGTGGGTGCCATTTGGGGGCCAACATCCTTTTTGTCCCTTGGTTTCTCTGCAGTCATTGAGCATTTGCTATTTGTTCAACTCTGCATGAAGTTGAACCCCCAAATGCTTAATTGGGTTCTACTTTGAATATGACCCCGCAGGGGGGTGAGATACAGACAAATGAAACAAAATAGAGAAACATGCGAAATAGCCCAAATTGGCATGAGTGACAACAGCTCTGAGGGCTATGAAGGTGGACTTCAATGTGGGTAGACAAGGATGGCTACATAGGAGGTGGTTTCTAAAAGCACAGAAACAGGCCAGCAATTTCCCCAAATCACAAAGGCCCTCATCAGTTTGCAGCATCTCTTTTGCATAATAAACATGTGTTTTTTACCTACAAAGGAGACTTGGGTACAAGTTCCTCGGCGAGGGCCCAGGAGGTCACAGGTATAGCGTCTCCAAAGCTCTAAAGATCAATAGTCATCATCCAAATCACAAGGAAAGCTTTAAGAAAAAAACCACAAACAGCAATAAGCAGATTCCCACACTCTGCCCCAGACCGCCAGGGTTAGCATCTTTAGGAGCGGGGCCAGGAATCCGAGCTCCCTGAGTGATTCTGACGTGCTGGACGCAGGGCCCGCCGATCATGACATGCCCCAGCGAGGATCCTTCGGAATACTAGTCTTACTAGACGTTCCTGGAAGGCAGGTTCTGTGGTCACTTCAGTGAGTTTGTAGCTGACTCGATATTGTGACTGGCTTTTGATGATTTGTCATACCAGGTAGCTTATTAAAGGCCTTGAGAAGTTCTGCAGGAAAGATATCTGCGTAGTTTTATTTAGCCTACCACTTCTCAAACTCACTGGACCTTAGGAAATTATATATCCCTACAACAGTATCCTGTGGCATACATGATGGGAAATGTGGGGAAAGCATTGACAGAAATAACCTCAAGGCAGCACTCCAGTCAACGTTTACGACTCCCAGGGACCTGTGGGGAGGCGCTGCTGTTCCCAGCATACACGCTTGATTGCATGATTTAAGGAGGGTGTGTGCACTGAGGGAGAGCTGGGAGGGGCAGTCCTACTCAAAATACTTTTTGCACATGGAAATCTTGGGCTTGTTTCCTACCATCCACCCTTGTGCCTCAGCTTTCTGCAGAGGGACCCTGTTGGTGACCCGCCCTCAGGAGAAACACTGCAGGCTGACGTGGAGGAAAAGGGGCCACAGGCTAACCTGACAAGCTCAGGGAAGGCCTGCATGGCAGCCTTGCAAACTCAGAGACCTAAAGTAACCACAAAGGATGGCCTGAAACGAAAACCGTTTTAAGTAAAAAGCAGTTTATAGTGGGTAGTCATGTCCTAGGCCGGTATCTTCCCTGACAAAGGTTAATCTTTACCTTAACTGAGCCTATTGTCTTTTTGCATCTATGATAACATATCATTGAAATGTCAAAGTAATTTTCCTTTTTTCTGGACCCCTCAAAGCACAGGCACCACTCTGCAGAGACCACAAATCCCCTTGTTGTTACTGAATTAATTGTTGACTGTTAACTATCCTGCACCCACCTAAGTAAAATCAGTATGTGTCTATCATTTTACTTTTTATCCAATCCCAGAGGGTTCCCCACTTTGCTTTCTCCCACCTCCTTAATCTATCACCAGTGGAGTTCATGTAACCCGCTTATATTTTCTCTTTTGATTGTAATGTATAAAACAAGATGAAAACCCGCCATTCTCTGGAGCACTATCTCAATACTTTGAGATTCTGCTTCCCGGCAATTGTCGACAAATTTGAGTTTGGCTCAAATAAACTTACAACAATTCTTCGCAGGTTTGAATGTTTCTTAGGTTAACACTGAAAGGAAGAGAGTGAGCCTCGGG